GCATCATGTTTTCGGGTTGTCCGTCCGTACGTCCGTCCGTCCGTCCGTCCGTACGTCCGTCCGTCCGTCCGTACGTCCGTCCGTACGTCCGTCCCGTTTGACCGTTATCACAATATCTCAAGAACCATTTAAGATTTAAACTTAAGACTCGGGAATAGTATTTATCACCATAGGAAGACGATCTGATTAGATTTTGGAGTACGTAGGTCAAAGGTCACAGGTCACAGAGGTCAACTTATGAAATTCCTTGTATTGAGTTTGTTAGCGCGATATCTCAAGAACCATTTGAGATTTAAACTTCAAACTTAAGGATAGTATGTATCACCATAGGAAGACGATCTGATTAGATTTTGGAGCACGTATGTCAAAGGTCAAGGGTCACAGAGGTCAACTTATGAAATTCCATACATTGAGATTGTTATCATGATATCTCAAGAACCACTGGAGATTTAAACTTCAAACTTAGTGATAGTGTGTATCACTATAGGAAAACAATCTGATTAGATTTTGGAGCACGTATGTCAAAGGTCAAGGGTCACAGAGGTCAACTTATGAAATTCCATACATTGAGATTGTTATCATGATATCTCAAGAACCACTGGAGATTTAAACTTCAAACTTAGTGATAGTGTGTATCACTATAGGAAAACAATCTGATTAGATTTTGGAGCACGTAGGTCAAAGGTCAAGGGTCACAGAGGTCAACTTATGAAATTCCATACATTGAGATTGTTATCATGATATCTCAAGAACCACTGGAGATGTAAAAACTTCAAACTTAATGATAGTGTGTATCACCATAGGAAGACAATCTGATTAGATTTTGGAGCACGTAGGTCAAAGGTCAAAGGCCACAGCGCACATTATGAATGCAAAAACAGCTTGTGATCGCGTTATCTCAAGAACCGATTGATGGATTCATGCCAAAATTAGGTCATGTTTGTTACTTGCAGAGCCAATGAACTGAGTAGATTCTTGGTTCATAAGGTCAAAGCTCAAAGGTCATGGGCCCATTATGTATGCAAAAATAGCTTGTGAACGCATTCTCATTAGAACTGACAGATGGATTACTATTTAACTCAGAACATCTTGCAGAACCAATGAACTGAGTAGATTTTATGGTCATGAGGTCAAAGATCAAAGGGTCATATATGTATATGAGAAATTGCTTGTAATCACAATATTCTGAGAACCTGTCAATGGATTACCATTGAACGTGAATTCAATTTTTTTTTCTGTTTTGGTTTGTAAAATTGCTCTATAACGGAGGCATCATTTTCGACTGCGCGCAGTCGAATTCCATCTAGTTTGTACTTTTTTCTTAATTAGCAGAAGTCTTTGTTTGAAAAGTTTGCATTACGCAGGGCTCAACACTGGCAGGCACCCTGGACACATGGGCATTCAAAATCTCTGTCCTGATCCCCAAGATTTTGAAGTGTTTACATCGGGCTCATGTATCAGATTGTAAATACAGTCAAACCTGTCTATAGTGACGGCCTTAGGGAAACACAAAAAGTGGTCTTTGTAGACAGGTTCCTTTAGTACATGTTTCATTGAGAAACTATTATGAAGGGAAACAAACAATGTGGTCTTTGTAGACAGGTGGTCACTAAAGCAGGTTTGACTGTAGTTAAATCTGGACCCCTTTTGAAAATAGCTCTGCAATACTGATTTCATTTATTAAGGTGTTATTGATTCATTACGTAGTGGACAAGTCGTCGGACTGGATCACAGGGTCCATGGATCGAGTCCCGCCGTGGCACTAATGTCCTTTGGCAAGACATTAATCTACATTTGCCACTCTCCACCCAGGTCTTAAATGGTTACCGGTAGGAAGGAATTCCTTGAATGCTGTGAGCGCCAAAATCGGCAGCCTAGCAGAGCCAGGTAATATTGAAGCACCTTGAGCACCTTGCGTGGTGGATGTGAGCGCTATATAAATATCTGATATTATTATTATATCTACAGCTGGTGTATGCACCTGAGGAAGAGGATTGCACAGAGGGCGATGAGAACACCCCAACAAAGGGAAAGAAGAAAGATTCCCCGAAACTATCCAAGAAAACTCGGATCCTTCACCCCCCGGACAGCAACGTCAACTCAGCGACGTCGCAATCTGCCAACAGAGCTGCCAGCATTCCACCGCCTTTCCTTCAGAACAATGTGAACAGTGATGGATCAGGGAGCAGTGTGAACACACCTACTCGGAAGAGAAAGACTCGCAGTGGTGTTGAATCCCTCTCCTCCCACCAAGACAATGAGAATAAGACTCAGGACGGGGAAGAGAATACCCAACCCTTAATGAATTCAGATTCATCGTTGAGAGGAAAACCAAAGCGAGGGCGTGGGAGACCCCCCTTCACGACAGGATCAGCTCGTGGAAGGGGTAGCACTGGGGGTGTAGCACGGGGAAGGGGTAGCACTGGGGGATCAGCTCGTGGAAGGGGTAGCACTGGGGGATCAGCTCGTGGAAGGGGTAGCACTGGGGGTGTAGCACGAGGAAGGGGTAGTACTAGGGGATTAGGACGTGGGAGGGGGAGGGGAAGGGGGCGAGGAAGGGGGCAAGGAGATTCTGAGAAGATGGAGACAGAAGAACCTGGGACCTTGTCTCGAGAGGAGGCTCAGCATGGAGTGTCAACTAGCAGTGGAGCAGCTCAGCAATTTAATTTTGAATTTGAATCAGGTACAAATCTAACCCTATTAATATTCTCACTACCTCTCGGTTCTTTGTTAAATCTGTGTCATTTGGAAACCATCAGTAAGTGTAGCATGATAGCATGTTGCACATTATGCTCTACTAAAAAAACATGCAAAACAGACCAATGACTATTGATAAAAATGCAATAAAGAATTACAAATTTATGAACTTGTAGTTGTAAAATTGACAACTCCTTGTTTGTCATCAGATCAGGGCCCTGTTGCAGAAAGCTTACCATTGATGGCAACTTGCCATCAATTGTAACTTCCATGGATTTTGATTGGCTGTTGAGTGATGTTAACACATTGATGGCCATCATTACCATCAGTGGTAAGTTTTATGTAACAGGCCAGCTCTCTCTATCCCTTTGTTTCATGTATGCTGGTATATACTTAAAAAGAGTGTGAGAAATACTTGCTATAGTATGTACATGTAGGCATTAACTGTGGGATTTGTGTATTCTCTTAGAGTCTTCGGTGGTAAGAGCTTTATAAGCACGGTTTTTATTATTATTATTATCATTATTCTCATCCGTATTCATTTCAGAGAGTGGAAGTGACGAGGATATGTCCCTTCATCGGCAGGTTGACGCGATATGTAAGAGGGATTTTGAAAACTCAGATTCAGACTCGATTAAGAGTAGACCAGGATCATCCAGATCAAGCTCATCCAAGGGAAAGTCACCTAAGAATAGTGGACCCTCCAAGTCTGAGCATAAAACCATGGATATGAAAAAAGGTAATTATAAATAATTTATAAGCAAATAGTTTTGTATACATGTATTTTTTTTAGTATAACAGGGGCACTGACATGTTTTGTGAGTTGTTGTCTTTGTGATAATTGACTCAGACTTCCAACAAAACATGCTTTTACTTGCATTGTCAGTTCATTCTCTTATGTTTGGGACAAAAGAACAATTGATATTCATATTAATATGATATGCTTGTGAAATAGTGACTTATACAGTATTGTAATAATGATCATAATGATGGGATTTTGTTGAAGGAATGTTATTAGATCAAGCTTCTTTTCTTACTCTAAATGTGTGAATTTGACTTCTTACTCATTGCCATTTTATTAAAGCCCCTCTAAAGTGTTGGGAGCCCCAAATTCGCAAAAAAATTGATGGCAAAATTTCACTTCAATTGTATCATAATGTGAAAGTGGATGTCATTTAAGACACACTTCTGCAAAGATCCTCCCCCCAAAAAAAAAGAAAAGAAAAGAAAAAAAGAAAAAGAATGTGTTTGAAGACAAATATTGATTAAAAAATAGATAATTTGGGTTTTCTGTTGTACGCAAAAAACCTAGATTTTATATTCTTTCATCACTATTCATTTGTTTTGAAAATCCTTGAAGAAATGTGTCTTAAATGACATCCTCTTTCACATCGTGATACTATTTAAGTGCAATTTTGCCATCACATCTTTGGGGCTTTCAACACTTTAGAGGGGCCTTTATAGCAGTTTATTTATTCAGTGTTCAAAGTATTACAGAGCCTCTAAACGTTTATGGTTTTTAAGTTTATAAACTTGTAATAGGAGTTACATGAGACAAGCTTGACAAAACTGCTCATCTTGATCTGAATACTGTTACTATGTTCCATTATATCTTCAAAATGTATCATGATTCTTGACTTTTCTTGTTAATTTCAGTAAAAACAAGCATTTCTTTGTGTAAAAATACATGCTTTATTACAATGTTGGCAGTTCAAACCGCCTTCGATGGTGCAAGGTTGAATGCCAATAATACTGTTGTACATTTACATCTTCCACATTGTCAGTCTCTCTCTCTCTCTCTCTCTCTCTCTCTCTCTAAGTGCCATATCGATTGACTTTGGCGATCATGCTGTTTCACAACCCTCGGTTCCTAGCCTTCTCTATTAGCACAACTCCCAGTTCTTTCTCTCGTCTCTCTTCCAACAATTTCTGCAGACTGTCCATCCAAAGTATCCTCCTTCTTCCCCTACTCCTTCTTACCACAATTTTCCCTGTCAAAGCAAGGTTCTCTAGGCCTTGTTTACGTGTAATGTGACCCATGAACTTCAACTGCCTAATCAACATCTCACGTATCATTTTCCTTTGCACTCCAGCTCTTCTAAGAACTTCCTCATTACTAACTTCGTCAGTCCAAGGGATTTTCATCATTCTTCTCAAAAACCACATTTCTCAACTTTCCAAGTGCTTTTTAGTATCAGAGGCTAAAGTCCATGTTTCACTACCATACATAAGTACTGGGTAGATATAACAATTCAGTACTCTTATTCTGGTCCTCGTACCCATTGTGCAATTTGTCATGATAACATTTGAATGAATTGTCAGTCTACTGCACGTTATTCTCCATGTCTCCTTGATTGTGTAGGAGGAGAGAGCGCATCATCCTCGCAGGGTCTTCGCAAAAAGAGAGCCGCACCTTCCTTCTCCCAGAAAGATGACGTAACCCTAACAGAATACAACTCCCTGCCCTGTGCATCCCCTACATGCTGTAGACCTATAGACAGCACGGTCACATGGGTAAGCGTAGATCATGTGTGCCAGCCAGGCAGAATGGTCCAAACTCCAAACAGAAATTGTCTATTATTTTTTTTCCAGTTCTTAGTTTCTTGATTTAACTTGTTCCTTTTAGTTTCCGTTTATATTGTTCAATTTCGGATTTCTGTTTCATTCTTGTGTTTTTCTCTGATAAGTGCAAGTCAAAAAGCTTAAGTAAGGCTCTTTTCAACGCAATTCTCCTACTTTAAAATTGTAAATGATTGTATTTAGTCAAAGAGATTCCAAATGTGTTTGGGTGGGATTTGACCCCCCCCCCCCCCGAAAAAATACTTCACATCATCTGTTGGATCCAGAAGGGTATTAAACCATACATGTATGCCTTAAAGGGATTGTTAATCAATGTTAAATCTGAGATGCACGGCGCTAAGTGTTATCAGTGTCTGTGATATGGTGTTATAGTGAAGGCCTAACAAAATTGCACTTCAAAATATCAAGAAGTGCCTCAAAAAAGTAAAAACCTTTGAGTGACCGGTTTTACCATACTCGTTTTCCCCAATAGACTGCAGTGTTATGAAAACCATTTGGCAAACGCAAAATTTGATTTCGATTTTCAATCATAAATATCTTGATAATCAGACAGGCAATCGGCTTGTAAAAGTCATGGGATTCTTGACTGACCTCAAGGTTTATAATTATCATTGCAGCATGAGCTAAATCAAGGATTTTTTTAAAGGATCTAAGACAAAGTTACCGGATCCCTTTAACACAGATTGTAATCAAGTGTTGGCCTTTTCTTTTGTTTCCAGGTCCAATGCGATGACTGTGATGACTGGTACCATGTGACCTGCGCAGGATGTGATTATAACAAGGTCAAACGGGTGGATTATCAGTTCTACTGTGGATGCAAACCAAGGAAAATAAAGAAGTGAAAGACTCTCTCTCTCTCTCTCTCTCTCTGACTGCCCTACCCATCTCTCTGCATACGATGTGATTATAACAAGGTCAAACGGGCGGATTATCAGTTCTACTGTGGATGCAAACCAAGGAAAATAAAGAAGTGAAAGACTCTCTCTCTCTCTCTCTCTGACTGCCCTACCCATCTCTGCACACGATGTGATTATAACAAGATCAAACGAGCTGATTATCAGGTTAACTGTAGAGGATGCAAGCCCAAGACATCTGAGAAGTTCAAAGTGAAGTCACTGTGAACACTATGCATTCACAGTTTGAAAGAACATGTTATCTTTAAAGCCCCACTGCACTAACTTATAGGTACTTGGGCCCTCTACATATAGAAAACAATGCCTTAGCGGTGCCTGTTTGTCCTCTACGATCCCCTTTTTCTTATGTGAATTAAGAGCTGAGTCAATGAGATAACTACCTGTCCGTGACCTTGCAGGGAGGTCTAATCCCCCTGGCTAAATTAGTGCAGACAGACTTTAAGTACAAACAAAGATCTTTGACTTTACATGGGAACTTTTACTGAATTTGTCAGACCGTCATGACAAAAAATGCCTCATGTATAATTTTTTCATGAGTTTCAAAACAAATTAAACATTGTGTTTAAAATGGCGACCATGGATACTTTGGTATGAAAATATGAGATTGATTTTGCCCTTCTCTTGCTATTAAAGAATCTTGTGTATGGACCAAATTATTCTTGTTATGTACCGATACTAATTATTCACCTAAATGATATTATTTTGACATGTAGTCAACGATTGTTTAATTTTTTTCTTCTTCTAGAACTGTTTAGTTTAATAATAAGATACGTAAAATAAAGGAGTGTGCTGGTTTGATATCTGTTTAATATTAATAATAATAAATTTATATAGCGCAGCTTTTATACAAAATATATTCGGCTGCGCTGGTTAAGAGCTCCTTTTTACTAAATTCTACAAAATAAGATCTCTCAGTTGAACAAATAAGTTTTTAAATTGGATTTAAAAACATTGAGAGATGGAGTGCTTCGTATTTCTATTGGCAAGCTATTCCATAGTTTTGGGGCAGCAATAGCAAAAGCACGGTCCCCAAGAGTTATTTTAGTTTTGCCATGGGGAATCTGAAACAATAATTTATCTGTGGAACCGCGCAGGCTACGACTGTGTGATTGGACTTTGAACTGAAGTAATTCTGTGATGTAATTAGGAGCTTGACCACTCAATGATTTATAGACAATTAACAATATTTTGAATGAGATTCTTTGACGGACTTGTTTGAAGCAAGAAGGGGATAAACTCTGTGCAAAATGATAGGATTTAATGACTTCTGACACTAAAGAGATGATCTACATATATGGTGGGGGAGTTGTGTGTCTGGATGCTTTATCAAAATAAATTTGTCAAAATAAAGCAGTGACTTTTGATTTAACCAAGAATATGCATCGAATAACACTAACCATAAGTGCATGTATTTGTGTTTTATCATGTAAATTCTTCAAATTACTGTTTGAAATCAACTGTTGGGATGACCAACCAATCCGAACACACAACCAACGTGTGGGTATACCGGTTCAAGGGCTTGAAGTGCAAGTGTTGTCTTTGTTCATACATTCTTCTGTCCTGTGTTGACATGGCCATGGGACAGTGATTGACATTTAGTAACATCTAAGCTTTTGGAACTTGAATTATAACCAAGGTATTTGTTTTTTTTTGGTGTTTAACACAATACAAAATTAATCACAAGCATGAGCAAGAACAAGAAAAACTGGCATATTATAGGTAACAATAACTTTTTTATCTGAGTTTTATTTTTCTGTGATTTTTGCTTGAAACTTCTTATGTTTTTGAAGCACTAGAAGAGATGCTCACTTCCATTATATTTTGAAAATATAAACTATTAGTAGTACGTTACCTTTAGGAGAATAAAATATTGCTAGGAACATGAAACAATTATTAATGGGGGCAATGATATATGATATTTCTTACTTTGACAATAATTTCAGCCTTGTAATGTATACATACACTGTACTTATATGTAAATAGTGTTTTATAATCCTTTTGTACAAATTAACAGAAAAGGAGTTTCCTTTTACCAAGGTACACTTATTACTGCGGACAGATTTCATCATTTTGGCATGTTGACAATGACGGTATATTGTTTGAAGATGATGATGATGGTGATGAAGATGATGATGATAATGATGGTGATGAAGATGATGATGAAAATGATGGCAAGATGATCAATATACCAGTTCGTAGATAAAATCTGTGCATGCGCAGATAAAGGTCACTTGAACAAAATTGTAAAACCCACCGAGACTAATACTGGATACATGTTCACGAAAGTTATGCAATCATTATTCATACATGCACCTGTGATGCATTCTATTGGACACAGGTGGAAGTAATCTTTTCAAGAGGGCAAACAAAGAATCACCTCTAAGACTTTAGGTGTGATTATTCCAAAAGGCACAAAGTTGGATTTATATATGTTTAAAAGATATGTGGATATTTGAGGTCATATGACCCATGTGCTAACTACGAACTGGTCTATTGGAGATGGATGATGACACCGATGATAATGGCACTGAGTATAATGACAGTGATGGAGATGGTGGCGATGATGTCTATTTCGCTGATGATGTAATGATGATGATGATGTAATGATGAAGACCTTGATGGCAAGATGATAAGATTGGTGATGATTGTGATGTCAATGATTGATGATGTTGATACCAATGATGGTGGCAAGATGATAAAAATGGAGATGATGGTGATGCTGATGATACAAATAATGATGGTAGAGGTGAGAATGGAAGGTAATATCAAGACAACGGCAATGATGATAGTGTTATAGTTCTATCTCTGAGGCTTGTTTCACAAAGACTAAGATCAATTTTAAGTTGGACTTAACTATGGCAGGCCATTCATGCCACTGTTTGCTCTCGCTATTGGTCTCTCAATTATGATCTTTAGATAATTTTTTTTCCTTCAATAATGAATCATAAAAAAAATACCCCCTGGTGTGCATATCGCACTGTGATGCTCCACTACAATCCTGATCCTTAACATACATGTACTATATCATTTATTTGGACAGATAAAAAGGAATTTGGTTGTCTGGACCATTTTTTTTTCTTTCGTAGCATGGTTTCGTATGTAGTTTTATATTCTATATATTCCATGTATTTCCAAGATTAGCCTCAGCAGATAAAATATGCTTTGGGGTATAGATGCAGAAAACATTTCCATGTGCACTTGCATCAGGAAGCTGTAATAAATGGAGATCCCGTCCAAGAGGCCCCTTTGAAGCCATCCGTGGCACCGCGCGTCTTTTGTTTCCTCTATCGTAATCCCCTTAATCCCCCTCCGAAACCGTACAGCTCCCTAGTAGCATTTAGTCCTCCCTTTCTACACACAGCCCAGCGGCCAGCGAGCACGGCGGCTTTTGCTTTGCCGGCCCGTATTTGGGGGTGAATAGTGGTGATAACTTGACAACTTCCAGCCCTCAATCAATTAATGCGCAAGCATATAACACAATTTAATTTAGTTCTTTAGGAAGATAAACCTTTGGAGTACCTTCCTGGCTATGTACAAATTTCGGAAATTTTCGGAAAATGTCAATAATTAGATGAGAAAATCATGATGATGAAAACCTTCATTCGCTCTAACTCACGATTTTCTTGGTCGATTTGGCTGGTTGAAATGGCCATGTCTTTAGTAGAGCTATCCGAGAACGGAAAAAGCATTTGATGACTAATAGAAAGTTGCATTGGTCTTATGTTGTGAATTCTGTATTTTATATGTTATAGCTAAATACATCTTCACTGAATATGACTTAACTGTCGGTGCCACGCATGGCTTCAAAGCTCGATGCTTGCATATTTTTGCAAAAGAGTGAATAGAGAACTAAGAGAAGCAGATGGCGTTGCGTAACATTTCGTACTATTTGGAATGCCAGAGAGGGACTGTGCATTGATACGGACAGCTGTTGATGGAAATGATGGCTGGAGAGGGTTACATTTCTTTTTGTTAAGCCAGGCTAATCTTGAATATTTTTCCCTCGGAAAATTCTTTTGAGACGGTATCTCCATTCATTACAGCTTCCTGCTTGCATGAAGAGTCTGTAAACAAATTCAAAATGGCATTTTATCAATGATTTGTTCCATTATTTCAGTATGTTTTTAACTTCATATGACAGCAAAAATGTCTAATACAACCGAGGTGGGGAGAAAAATGAAGCGAGCAGGGCCTAGAAATCAAGGAGTTCATTTTCATTTATAGCTTACATCATTAGCAAAGGGACGTGAGAAAAAAATGGGAGGGGGGGGGGGGGTGGTGGTGGTGGGAAAGATCATGTCTGTTCTGGGAATAAATATTATACTTCCAACATGAAACACAACAAACAGAAAAGAAAAGAAAGAATCTGTACAACAATTCATCGTTTTTAAAGATCATATCTAATCTTAATAAATTATCATCTACATTCACTGTACACGTAAATATACATATGTGCTATTAATATTTGAAAATTCACTTCTAATTACAGACACACATTATAATACATGTTATTTACATAACATTAAATATATTTACACATATATACAAACAGAATAATTTAGACATGTCAATGTTGATTACCATTTCATAAGTACATGTATTCTATATCAGCCCGAATTTAAAATTAAAAAGAAAGAGTGTTCGCTATTAGGTACAAACACTAATCTTCATAAAACCCTTTTGAGGTTATAATTTGCAAGTAATAGTCGGCATTTGAGACAACAATCTGGGGTATTAGTCATGGACTTACTGTCAGAAATGGTTTAATAATAGAATCACATGTGGTGTCTCATTGACCAAGTATGTTTACAAAATGCACTTAGAGTACATCATTGTCTAAAACACCATTTGTGCATATATGACATATGCAAGAGACCATCAGAAGTCTTAAGTTTGCTGACACCCCACTGAAACGCGTTTCGTTTATCATCATATGAAGAGCTTGGTTCTAAAGGGTACTACATCCATAAATCCAAGTTCTGAGAAAAAACACAATTTTTTAATGATTATAGTTAGCAATGTCAGTTTGGAATGATAATTTGGCTGATTATACTAATGTATGATACAAGTATAAAACCACTCTTTAAACAAAATCTAAGTTGGCACAAACATTGTCATGAGAGGATGTAGGGCCTTCTGGAACAGAAATTTGATGTACTGTTTTCAACCAAAAATCTTTTATGCTGTATGCAAGTTACAATGCATGACTTGAATGGATATAGTACCTTTTGGCACTGAACTGATTTTTAAAACCTGTTTTTCCTTTTTTTGGAAATTCAGTTTTTTGGAAGTGTCAAGTGACCCTACTGGAAATGTGTACATTAATGCAAAAAAAAAGAAGAAGCAATTTTGATAAAAAATGGATGTAGTATCTTTTGGAACCAAGCTCTCCATATATTCAGTCAGTCCTCTGAGCACCAAGAAATTGAAAGACTTTACTATCTTTAGGTTTGATAACTCTTTCCCAAAAATAAACGACTCAAGGTGAAATTAACTACTTGTACTAATACACCAGTTTGTTCAAGGAAAAACAATTCATGATATTCTGAACTTCTTCTTCGTTTCACTCAGACAGAATATCAAGCAAAAGGGGTGGGTGGAAAGAACAACACAGTTCTGATTATATTGTGTTCAAGCCGTGAAGATTACTACACATGAAAAAAATTCCTTATTATTCATCAAGTTTTCTCAAGTTTCTGGATAATTTTCCTGCATTCATTGAAATCAACATGACCTCAAGGTGAACTTCATCAATTTGATTCAATTCAAAATTGATTGGTCATGCACAAAAATAACGATATTACTTTTAGCTGCCACATGCTTAACAAAAGTACTGATATTCGTCAGTAAAATACAAAAGTTATACAGAAGGCTTGCGGTTGCACCATGTGAGAGAGAGAGAGGATTGAGGAGTCCTGAAAAGGACTCTCGGTAATCTTTCTTAAGGGTGTGTATAGTCCTGAAAAGGACTGTTGGTGTAGTCTTGAAAAAGACTGTTGGTTATCTTTTTTAGCTTATAGTTCTAAGGAGAACTATAGCGCCGGTTGGAGAGGATGGGTGGTGGGAGTGGCCAACGGTCCTTTTCAGGACTACACACCCTCAAGAAAGATTACAGAGAGTCCTTTTCAGGACTCCCTAATCCTCCATCTCTCTCACATGGTGCAACCGCAAGCCTACTGTATATCTACATCACCATGCAAGCCGATACTTACAAGCCGCATCTAATACAAAAGTTGTTCAGTATAAAAACAAATATATAAGAACATGTCCTATAATGCATTTAAAAGGTTTAATCAATCAATCAATTAGTCATTTGTCATATAAAAAATATAGTAATTTTTTTCCCCTTGCAAATTGAAAAATCGAATTGTATCTCAAGCTTGACATCAGTATGAAACAAGTCTATCCATTTTTATTCTTGCGACAATGAAAAGATTTTTTCATGAAAATTTTATCTTGAGTTTGACATCAATATGAAAAAGGTCTTTATTCTTGTGACAGCTCCAAACAGTTTGCAATTGCAAAGAGTCATGCAATTTTTCATTTTTAGAAATTCAATTTCCTTATTATTTTCTTTCAATTTGGCAGTTAGTTTGAAGATCATTGATTTCAAAACAGACGAGGTTCAGCCAGCCGATGCTTGTTAAAGGTACTACCGGTATGTTCTATTTGCAGGCCCCAAAAATTAAAAGATTGAAAGACAATACTAATTTAGAACTTCTCTCGAAACAAAAGGGCTTGAAAATGGCTTTTAGTGAGGAAATAACCATTAGTTGTCGAATCAACTAAAGTGATTGCAATCAATTAAGTAATAGTCTGTTTTTCATACCCTTTTACAGAACGGTTGTATGTTTTGTGCTGTGTAGTGGGTTATTGATGTTGAAAAATGCTCAAGTACTTGTTACAGCTCATTTTAGGTATGCAGTCACTCAATAGTGTCTGACAGTAAAGTCTAGAAAGTAAACAGGTTTCCTTGCATAATTTGAATACTGGGACACAGCTAATGTTTAAATTTCACAGATAGGACAGACTTATTCATAATTACTGCAAAGTTTTACAGAATTTGATGTTGGCTGCAAAAGGGACATAGTATCTTTAATGAGTTTATTTAGCCCTGTCTTTCCTTCTCTTGCAATGAGGTACTTCTAACCCCTTGATACTATTCAACAGAACCTTCCTGATGACTTTCCTTAACTGATTTGGCGTCTTATGTTGTATACAGTTGGTGGATTTCATACGACCCCTTCTTGATGAGTTTCATTTCACCCTGGGTGTTTTTCCTCCTCCTCTTGGTTTGATTTCTTTGTCTTTCTTACTCCCGGGTTTACTCTTGACGGAGCCCTTGTTGGAGTCTCTCACTGAACTGGGAGTTGCTTTACCTGGACACAGAAAAAAGAAAGTTATACCACTATCAGGGTTCTTGTTAATTTTTCTGATAGCAGGCTATTTATGATTTACAGGAGGCTACTAAAATTGCAAAAGAAAAATCTCTGTGCGCGTAGCGCACATCACCATGTGCGCGAAGCGCACATCACGAGCGCGAAGTGCGAAGTCCCTTGCGGCCGGGGTCCAGGGCCCGCCCAAGGGCCCTGGAAGCTTTAGGGTTTTAGATGCTCTCTGGTGCTATCTTAGCCTTATTTTTGAAGATATGACCACACTGTATGAGCCATAGTTTAATTATAAAGATCATGAATATTTTGGCTGAATAACTTACTTTTCATATGATATACAATATGAAATGAAAATGCTCCATTATTGTTTCTGATAAATCAATCATATTTGTGATGAATCTACAATTTTGAATTACATGATAATGATACAAGGTAGTCCTGGGCAAAAACGGTTAACTGACGTTTACAGGACCTTGTCAGTGAAGAAAATCGTTTGCGATAAAAAATTTAAAAAATTGGAACACACATTAAAAAAATATGACAAAATTGGATTGGTAAATGGTTTGCAGGTATGTGACAGCTGTTACAGGGGTCTGGGGGTGTTACGCCCCCAGCAGGGTCCAGGTGCAGTGCCTCAGTCTGGAGGGGAGTCTCCCCTGAAGGCAAGCCCCTAGCATTTCAAGATCTCCCATTCAGATTCTAGAGACCTTAGAAGGAAAAATCTTGTCAATTCAATCAGAATGTATTAAACTTTTCTCGCATATTGAAATGTAATGTGACACATGTTTAATATTCATGTACCTGAGGCTGAAACTTTTTGCAATAATTACATAGTGAATGATCATTCCATTTCTGAATCTGAGGACTGGCTAAGAAGATCCTCATCCAGACCTAGGATGTCAAGGGTGGACTTCACCTCCTGGTCTTCAGCTTCATCTTGCTAAAACAACCAGCCCCCTTCTCTCTTTTCTCACCCTCTTTATTCCCTTCTCTCTGCAATGTGTTCATCGCTCATGTACCTTTTCTTATTACTGCACTCTCAGCTCACAACTTTCTAAATGTTTACACATTCGATGGTCAGTTCCTCTCACATCCCTTCTCCCCCGAGTCTCTCTCTCTCTCTCTCTCTCTCTCAAAATTAATATCCATCCCTTGCCGACTCGCCCCCTAAAATAATGTTCATATATAAATAAAATACAAAAATATTGATAACAATAATAATTGAAGTTTTAGAAATATCAATCAAAAAAGTCTTGGATATTATTTGTGAGTAATTTAAGTTTTTGATCATTCTTCAATTCAGCCGATTAACACAGCCACCCTTTCTTACTTCGATCTTCACTCATGTCCCTGCCTCGTCCATGCAGGGACATGCAGGGACATGCTAGCCCATATGCTCTCTCAGTCACACACACACACATGTACACACAAACCTCCGGCGCCCAAATACACTGTACATACACACAGATGGAGAGCTCATGCTTGTCACATGCACACATGTGGGCGTGGCTTCTTGACCTCCCACTGAACTGAGTACGGTGAAAGCACGCGCGGTCACCAACCTGTAATTTATGCTGGTATCAAACTCCACCCACATAGCTAGAGAACCTTCCTGATTGGTCACTAACTTGGATCAGCTCATTGCAGGGTGTGTCTTGGGTGTTTGTGTGATACACACTTCCACATAATTTCATATGGCAATGATATACATGGAGGGAGCTCTCTCCCTGACCATGTGCAAACATTGCATTGCAAAGGCATATATAAACACGTCACAGATCAGCTATCTTCACAGAGTAACTTTGCAAGGTTAATCATGATATCAAATTCAGATGAGGAATAATAAGACATGTTTTATGTTGTTTATTACTGGTCTCTGTTTATCAGGATGACCCAATTTGTGCCATAGTCCGGGGCTGGGAATGCTCAGACCGACAGTCTGAAGACCAGCAGGGTTCCGAGCTACAGCACTATTAAAAAATACTGTATTTTCACTTTTTCAGATTATTATTAAACGGTTAAACGAAACCGCCCGTATACTTTTAACAGTTAACCGTTTAGCACAAAAACCGTAATGACTCAGGCTTAGAAGACATCGATGTCTGCCGTTTCGATTCTATTTTAATTCGACTGGCGTGCGATCTCGGAGATAAATTCACTCAGCTAGCTCAGCTCGGCTCACAACGCGCGCTTTTCTTGCGTAAGCTAGCTTGCCGGCCTGCGCTTGGCTCTGGCGCACTGGGCATATACTAGATAGCTCAGCCCCCGCGTGCGCCGCGCCGCAAGTCCATATTTTAATAGGGTTTTATTTTACGATCGTTTCGGAGACGTTTCATCTCATTTCTTTACGACCGTTTTCACAACCCCGCGCTATGAAAGCGTGTCTTCGTGAAGCTTGTGATAACAGAAATTTGAGATAGCGACTTGACCGAATATGATGTGATTTTTGTATTATTATTTTTTTTTTTTGGAGAGGCTTACAGCCGGCTACGATTGCCGTTACAGCCGGAAAAAATAGCCGGTTGCCGGCTATTAACAAGAACCCTGCACTATCAATGCAAGCAAATAGAGAGGATACAAAGTAGTACAGACCAATGTATCTCTACAGGAGAGGATACATGGAGTGACAATTGTCAGCACTGATGTCATGTACAAATGGGCAAATTTTTAGATTTTTTTTTTACTTTTCATTCACAATGGTTCATTTAGTATACATGTCCATCTTATTTCTTTAAAAATGAAAAAAAAAAAAAAAAAAATTATTAAAGAGTATAAAATACAAATAATTGATACCAACTTGAGGGGAAAAGTGGATTTATTTTGACCTTCAGAAAACTCTAAAGTGCTGTGGGGTACTTACCTCTCTTTAAGTAATTTTCCCTTCTCTTGCTAGCCTTGCATCCATCTTTACCCAGCAGATGTTTCTTCCAGCTTTCCTCACCCTCTGGGATGTTAAGATGGCAGGTTGGACACCTGGCTGTCCCAGGCTTCGATGCTATATGGGATTGTATCAAATAATGGATGTATCAGAGACACTCTTGTGCATTATAATGTATAAAGCACTTTCAACCAAAGTCTCTAAGCGCTTTTTCATTAAAACCTCCACAATTGATGCATATAACAACACAGACAATTTCCAGTAGGTTCCTGGTATTAACTTCTTCCACTGGTGTAAATATAAAATCACAAAGATCACAAAAAGACACTTAAATTAACAGACAACGAGAGAGCACATCAGAGTGGTCGCCTGTAAGGCGCACCACCTCCTCATTTGCAATATGGACATAACAATGAAAGGTGGAAAGAGAGTATCAGTACATCAATATTCTGATACACCAAACAACAAGAACATGTAATATTTTGCTTAAAACCTTCACATTTTTTCCAATCATAAAAGATTAATTCATGTACATTTTTAAAGTGTGTATATTACCTTATTTAAAAAAAAAGAAAAGAAAAAAAAGAAGACTAATGTAAATAGAGAGGCTCTAATTGCCTTGTACGGGGAATCTTGGAAATGTTATGACTGATATGTCTTCCTAAAAAATGGCAAGATAAAACCCTGGAGCTTAAATGATGGCTAGAAGGATTCACATTATACCATATTTCTATTTAAATACATTTCAAAGGCACAATCTTCATTCATGTTTTTTATCAGACAATGAATGAGATTGTGAAAATGATCACAATTTTATTTCAGCAAAATATCATCCTAGTACCCACATGGATGATATTCAATACACTGCAATTCAAGGATGACAAAATCACTATATCTGTTCACAAATGTGGCAAATTAAGAACTTACGCTGGCAGAGTTTCTCTGATACATATCGATCAATGTCGGCTTTACTGTGCGTCTCGGAACAACGAGGGCACTGTGCAAAGTCAGCCCTCTTATCACATTCAGTCAGGATATGCTCAGTCAATGTGGAGATCTCCACCACCTGTCATCCAAACATACAACCATTGTTCATTTAAAGGCATCGTTTAACAATATAAAATCTGAGATGCACGGCCCTACATGTTATCAGTGTCTGTGATGTGGTGTAATATTGAAGCCCTAAAAAAATTGTGCTTCAAAACGATCAAGAAGTGCCTCAAAAAAGTAAAAATCTTTGAGTGACCCGTTTTACCATACTCATTTCCCCAATAGACTGTAGTGTTATGAAAACCGTCCAATCATAAATATCTTGATAATCAGACAGGCGATCAACTTGTTAAAGTCATGAGGTTCCTGACTGACCTAAAGGTTTATGATTCTGATTGCAGCATGAGCTAAATCCAGGATTTTGTTTCAGAATCTGAGACAAAGTTACCGGATCCCTTTAATATAAACAGGGATCTCTTGTAAGACCTTAAAAAATGTTCCATGCATGAAATCAACTGCTCACAAATTTTGAGAGTAGGTCATTTACAAATTGCAAAAAGGTTCATTTCATTAAGTTTTGGGTCGAAAGTATTGGATGAATGAGATCATTTTAGAACTGACATGGCTCCTTGCACACAAACAAATGCCATTTAGCAAAGAATTATTCCAATAATCAAAGCAAAAATTCGAATTTAATTTATTTTCTTTGCGCTTTAAGAGAATTGCACAAAATGTTCGATATCAGTTGAGTCTCCATTTACACAAGAATGTTATCCTGCTGTTACAACATGACAATTTGATGGATGAAAAAAATCAAAGAGTGCAATTGCTCAAAATTGTATGCAAAGTTTGTAAATTGGGTTACTGTTCGTTTTTTCTTCTACCATTTCTCTTCCACCCCGTAATATTTCTGGGGGGTGTTTCACAAAGTTTCTAAGTCAAACTTAACTCTAAGTTGGACTTAATTATTATCGAGAGCCATTTGTAGTCTTAAAATAAAATATGTTCAAGAGCTAAAATTCAAGTATTCTGGACTTTTTATAAATTCCACATCAAGAACATGAAATCTCCTTGATAATAGAAAATTATGAATGATTTGAATCAACATTTCATGCCTCTTAAACTAACTTGTACAAAATATTTGTAAAGATGCTAACGGCTATCCATAACTGTTAAGTCCAACTTAAAGATAAGTTGAACTTAGGATTTTTGTGAAACACCCCCCTGGAAAAATAAAAGAGAGACTGTCAGGTACCTGTTTACAATTATGACACTTGGTGAGAATGGGGCAATACTTCCAGTAGTGTACATCAAGTCCCTCCTCTTTAAACTTGGGATCTTTCTCTGCACAGAAGATACACTGCTGATCGATGTCTTCACCATACTCAGAGGCATCAGCGATGCTAGGGGCTCTGGGAGGAATCTTCTTGTTCTGAGGGGCTGTGAAACAGACAGATGGTTTGGAGGTTTTAATAGGTGAAATTTGATAAAAGAAAGAGTGTGCTTGATAAGAATCAACCAGAAAAAAATGACACAAATATGGGAGATTCCCTAAGTTCTGAGGGGCTACACAACAGAAAGGTGTGTCATCAGTGATGCTAGGGGCTCTGGGAGGAATCTTCTTGTTCTGAGGGGCTACAAATGGAACAGATGGTTTGGAGGTTTTAAAGGGAGTGTAGCTTGGCAAATACTGGTTTAACATGATCTATGTCTTCTTTTGGACAACTGCACGTAAATGAATGGACTTGATAAAGGGTAGTCAGCGACTTAATCTCTACATGGTCAGCGTTCTCAAAACAGACCGCAGTTCTCCTCACGCTTCATTTTGCGTGTTTGGGTTGTCCGAATTCGTTCTATTATCCGATTGGCCCTGAGTCAGGCTACAGGAAAGACACATAGTCTCGTCATGCTACACTCCCTTTAAAATAAGTGAAATTTGATGAAAGAATCAACCAGAAAAAAAATGGGAGATGTCCTAAGTTCTGATGATTTACAAAACAGAAAGGTGGGTCTCTGTTGAGCCCTTATAGATGCAGTGCTACAGCAAGAGAAAGGGTATGTGTGATGCCCATTATCCTTATTCTACAGTATGAACTTCTTTACAAGGGACTACAGGGCTCTCGGTGGGATCTTCTTGTTCCCGAGGGGCTGTGGTGAAATAGCGGATGGTTTGGGGTTTTATCGGTTTACTGTTGGAGTTTACAAATAAAGCAGATATATTATGACTATTTAATATTGTGAGGACTTTGAAACCATTGAAGATAGATATCAAACAATGAAAGGAGTAAGAAATGAAAGGCTTAGGGGATTTGAATTCCACTTTACAACTGACAGGTTTCGGATACAGATCAATTAAAATATCAGAACAGATCATACAGGCAAAATAAAAAGCCAGGACATTTCTTAGAATGAAACCTTCTCACAGATATAGAGGGGCAGGGCAAGAATTATTAAAATGTATGTCTCCTAACTGTAATTCAAGATCCGAGATGCACTGCATATCCAAAAACATTTGTCTTCAATTGCTGCCACAAAGACTAAAGAGCTTTATGCTAATGTACTAGAATAAGTGACACAAGCTAAAGAACAGTCATTATTTAAAAAAAAAAAATAATAATAATAATTAATACCTTTTAATTTGTTCTTGTCTTCAGCAGGAGCCTGTCATAATTACAGATAAAGTGTGAAAGAGAAAAAGAAAGAAAAGAAAAGAGAGAAAGAGAGAGAGAGCAAGGAGGGGGGGGGGGAGAAATAATAATATGATAATGATATTAGGAATAACAATCACTTGGCCTAAAGAGATGAAGTGTATTACAAAATCCAAAAATTGTAGCGAATAAAGACATACTAAACATTATCCAGGATTTACCAGGTAGAATTCATTAGAGGGCCTGAAAATCACCTAGAATGAGCTATTTTGTACACAAAAAAGCCTAAGCTATGGTCTGAAAATAACACGCCACGGCCTGAATTCAGGCTATTGCCTGAAAACTGGCATCCCTGATTATTGTCTTGCACTCATTAGAGTAATCGAATTGCAAGGACGAACCGAAAGCCAAAATCAAACAATATAATCAGAAGCTAGAAAAAGAAAGAGCGCAGAAATAAAAGGCTCTGATTGGCATCTAAAAATAAAAAACAACTTGACATGATGCCACCCATTTCATGAAATACAATATACTGGTACAATATTTTATTTCATTTTTCTTTATGACCCAAATCATTTGTTTGGAGCCACAAGGGTATTAGCTAATATACTATAACACAGAGTAAATGAACTTTTGGTTTTGAACAGACAAAATAAGGTTGTGTTGATATGTGCCTTTCATGCAATGTTTATTTATAATTACCTTTTTGGCAGCATTCTTTATATCCACACTCTTATCAGGACTCTTTTCCTTCTTCTCCTTGTTCTTCTCCACATTCTTTGCTGTTGCTGCCTTGAGCTCAGCTAGCTGGTTCTGAAGATCATCTATCTCTGCTTTCTTGGCCTTCTTATCATGGTCCTTGGCAGCCTTCGCCTGAGCCTAAACACAGACAGACAGACATACAGACAGACAGTAAGAAGTCATTGACAATAGGCGGTGTCAGACAGAGGCTAATTATCTAGATAATTAGCTGTCTGTCATCAATTGTCCCGCGAAAAGCCCCGTGAATAACCCTGTGAAAAAAATGCTCTAACGAAACAAGAAAATTCTCCCTTGATAGGATTTTTCACAGGATTTTTCTATCTGTCACCAAGGTTGAAAAAATAAAATCTTGTTAAAGGTCAGTGCAAGGTCAACTATTAACTTAAGGATTGGCAGGCATATGGTTTTTAACACGCTATCATAATCTGCGCACAATTGTATTAGCGCGTATTTACTAAGACGTGTTAATTGCGCATTACTTTTGATTGAACGAGTGATGTCACAATGCTATCTACCTGAGCGGTGCATGCGCACTGGCCCTTCAATTATCTAGATAATACGTAGACTGCCTGTCACCTACATAAGTGAATTATCTACATAATTCAAGATGGATCTGGAAAATTGTGTCTGATACCGTTATCCATAGGTTTCAATGGTGAGTGAGTATTCACAAATTGAGGCTCACGGTAACACTATGGGGTAGCCTTACTGAAAAGGCGGTTGACTTAATTCTTTCGTCAAAATAACGTAATGAACTCAATGTTTCCAAAATTCCTTTTTCTATCCAAAATACAATGAGTCTGCTACATCATACCAAGTCCTTTTGTATTTTCCCCGTCATGTCACATATCAAATTTGTTCCTCTTTACAAATAAAGAGAATATTGAAAACTGTTTTTATTTTTATATTTAGTCTAATGTATTCATCATGTTTTGATATCTACAGGTAAGAACTGAAGAAGAAGTGATCGAGATCAAGAAGGTTGCGAGCAGATCTCAAAAGTTGAAGAGTGAAGAGTGTAGTTCTGAAAAAAACTGTTTATATTCCTCTGTAAATTACGTGAATGGAGTACCGGTATGTATCGAGGCGTTTCAAAAAGTGTGTTGTGTAAATCATTGGGAGATTAAATCTATACCAATGGAACAAACGGCGGACCACCAGTCAAATTTTGGCACATGTACAGTGTATGTATACTTCACAGTACTACAGTAGTATATAATAAATATTGATGATGTATAGTATAAAGTATATATATAGTATACTGCACAGTATATACATGTATAGTATATAAAAAAGAGTGTTTCTGCTAGATATAATTTTCCTTCTGTTTTGCTATAAACACTGCATTGTAAATTGATTTATACTGTATATATGTTAACAGAATATTGATTTGTTACGTTACATTGTAAATTGACTTATATGACATATATGTTTCCAAACAGAATATTGATTTGTTACATTACATTGTAAAGTTATGTACATCAATTAAGTTTAATAAATACAATACAATACATACATGTAGTATACATTGTGTATATCATATAGCACATATAAAGATTCTATGTCTCTGGCGGTCCACGGTTTTAATCCATCGTGGATAAAGAGTTCAATTTCAACCAACAATATAACATAACCAACAGAAAGAACATCAACATGAACGATGACATAACACACTATACAAAATACAAAATAACATAACGGTTAAACATGAAACCAACACTTCATTTAATAGAAGCCAAATCACATGGATATACTAGAGATTATTTTTAACTGACCTGTTTTTTCTCATTCCACTGCCAAACTCCTACATGAGCAAATTTTGCAGGTATAAAAACTTGTCAGTCATAACACATAGGGTCTGAATTGTCAGACTATAGACTGCAGCCCATAGGCCATGTACTGATGTTTCTCATATCTAGTGGAATCTGGGTTAAGCTTTGTTCAGATATGATGCATAACATATCTGTATCTTATAACACAGAGCGCACAGTGTCATGGTCGAGTGGTTTAAGGCCCTTGACTGGAGAGGAGAAGGTCGAGGGTTCGAATCCCGACATAGCACTAATATCCTTTGGCAAGATATTAACCTGCACTTGCTACTCTCCCCCCAGGTGTTAAATGGGTGCCCGGTAGGATGTGAAAGTCCATGTGGTTGGACGAGCTTGTAAAATGGGGACTGGCTGGAATGCTCTCCGTTGAAGACTCCCTCTGTAAGGAGGGGTGGTTTTGGGTGGGTCAGTGAGTGAAAGGAGGGGCGGTTTCAGGCGGTTTAGTTGCTAAAGGGTTAAACAAGTCCAAATAGGGTCTGTGCATGCAGACTACATACCTTGAGCTCAGCTCTGGTTGGTTTGCCATCGATCTTATCAAAGCCATCGTATATCCTGCCATAGAGGGGGTTCTTCATGATGGAGGGTTGCTCAGACGACGGCAGGTGCGACATGACCTCTGACCCCTTGAGTTTGTAGAGTTCAAAGATGAGGTTAATGGATGCATCTCGCACGATACCAGCTGGGTGCTCCAAGCCACGGTTCGCAAACTTCATTACACTGGAGGTCGACATCCCACTGCAGGCAATAACACACATAACATAGTTACTCAGAGATGATAGCATCTGCTGAATATAAATGGGTCACCTATCAACAAATCCTTTAACCTTTCATTTGTCACAAGTGACAATTTGCACAAAATAATAGTCATTATTTGACAGGTATAATTTTTGTAACACAAAAGCTTTGCCAAACTACCCATTTCCAGTTTTGATTAGCGAAATAACAACCGTTTTAACACCAGCATGGATTTACACTGGAAACATTGTAATATCCTTCAATCCCTTGGTATTACTATCTTGTGAAAATCTTGCAGTGAAAATTGTTTGAGTGTATTATACTAATACATTCAAACTTTAAATGAATCTTTTCCCTTGAAAAGAGAGTAAGTTCTGTATGCATCAATACAAATTGTCATCAAATAGAGGAGGCGCAATAGCTCAGTCGGTAGAGCAGTGGTCTCGTAATCCGGTGACCCGGGTTCAAAACCAAGGCAATGCGCTAGTGCCCTTTGGTAAGGCATTAATCCTCATTACCAGGTCCCTCGGCCGTCTGGTTGCTTACTTACAAGCATTTATGCTTTCTTAGCAGTCAGGTAAAATAACAACCACCATTCAACCCATAGTATTAAAATACATACAATACAACGTACAGATGAGAATAGGGACCTTGAACACTTCTCGTAACTTCTGACCTTTACCTATGGAGCTATCAAGTTACAAGTTTATTTTGTTTCACATTTCACAAAAAAGAATTCACCTAATTGACAAAATTAGAACATAATATGAAACATACTAAAAGTGTCACGTTATATAATCCATTCTTTGTAAAGAGGTCAAAATTAATTGTATTGAATAGTAGGTTATACAGGGTGAAATGTGAGGAACCTATCAAAATAGCTATATGATCTCTTTTCCTACAATCCATCATCCTACCTGTTTTTGTCTACCCCTAGTTCCTTGATAAGCTTTTCAATGATCTCCACCCTGGTGACAGCCATCTTAGGTTGAGCATTGTTCTTGAACGGTGTTTGGCAATGGACAGGGATGGTGTGTAGAGGGCGCACGTCAGGGAAGCTTGCCATCTCAACGATGAAGTCAATGTCGGTTACTTTCAGCTTGGCATTCTATGGGCAGAGAATGACATGATAGAATACTTTATAATAGTAATATTTTATTTTATTTTGTTGCTTTTAAGCCATAGTGCACATGTTACATAATTATACCGAGTTAGACAGGTCCACCTGTGCGCTTAGAAACAACTGTATAAAGCGCCCTATAAATGTAATTATTATTATTAATACTCGTAGTAGATTTACAGCAATGATACACATGTAACTTCAAATTTCTTTTTTTTCTTTTAATGTAAGCTAATATCAATATTAAATCATAGTGCAATTTGGGATTTAATTTCGAAACAAAGAAGAACTTTGCAAAGGAGTTTTATTAATAAGTATGAAAAGATTTAACCTAAGGCTTGAGATCGCTCCACTTACACACCACAATGGTGTGCTTGCTGTGAAAAAAGTTCTGCCTTGATTTAGTTTACTATAATTGAAAACAAGCTTGAAAAAGTAAAAAGCAAAGACACAACTAGAGAAGCTTAAAATATCTCATGGTTTGGTAGTATGTCTTTAAACAGATAACAAGAACATATGAGCTGTTGGAATTCGTTTTAAAACTAAGGAAGCTTGAAGTCCCCTGATAGAGTGTTTATTCATTATTCATGTACGTATCATTCATGTTGAATAATAGGACTTTACTTGTGTGAATGTTCATGATCCCCAAAATCCCCAAAATCTGATAGTAGTCAAGTTGTAGAGTGTGGAGGTGGGCTTGCAGGTAAACTTGAGTTCTGGTAAATATAGAAATAAATTCTCGCAGAATCAAACAAAACTTACACTGAATGGTCAAGATTACAAATAAATGACATGTGTTAAACAATTTTGGTAGAAAATGTATAGTGACTGAGTAATGAGTATAGAAAGATAAAGAAATCTGGGTAAGTAAGCCAAACACCATGTACTTAACACAGGTCTCTATGTGTAAAAAAGGAGTAATGGTCTTTATCAAAGATGATGTCCAGTAAGTTTCTGTACGTTTTAATTTTTTCCACTGGTTTAAACAACCAATCTACTGCAGGATAAACAATCCAGAATAAATCATAGCAATTTCCTCTCAAAACAGGATTCCCATACCAGAGCTCAAGATTAGCTTGAAGATGATGGCTACTCACCGTATCACCGATCCTTGCCATGAGTTCTGGTAGGATCCTATCCACTCCCTGTGACGTCTCTCCCTTACCAAGTTTCTTATGAGTTGGGATGAACTCTGTGAAGAGGAACCGGGTTAAGTCGACCGCATTGTTGAACACCTACAGGCAAATATATGCAACATTTGATAAGTTTATATATCTGTATGATTAACTTACTCCGTTCACATTGATGTGTATTTCACATGTATTGTAATTTGTAGGTTTATTTGCACTTTTTTGTTTTGTTTAATATATAATTGTTTATCAGTCTATTTTGTTTGTTATATCGCTTAGAGACTTTGGTGTTTAGCGCTTAATAAACAATGTTTTTATTATTATTATTATTATTCTTGCTTCAAAATATTTATTACTGAGTAATATATATCAAATTCAAAATTAAGATTGATAATTCCCCCCCCCCCTCCCTGAAATAGCAATTTCTATTGGTAGTGATATTGTTTAAGAGGTTTTATAAGCTCAATTAATGAACAAAGAATAACAAGTCAATTTCATATTTCAATACAATAACCAATCATTTAATTAAAAACTTGCTAATATATTCCCTTTCCATAGTGTTATACATTTGTGCATAATTCAAAGAGAAAGTAAAATATTTTTTGTTTTACCTAATTTAGTACAACAAGAAATAAGAAACAAATAGAAACTAACGAAAGAAGAAAGCCAACATTGAACTAAAGAAAGATGATAAGAGGGAACAACTTACCGAGAAGACTTTGTCCTTCAGACCCTTTGTAGCCAGAAAGATGGCCGCTCGTAGGAAAGCACGAACTTCCTCCTTTTCTTTCCCTTCCTCCAATGATTCTACGAGAGATCTGACGTCTCCTAAACCCTCCTCCCTCAAGGCCCAGCTCCTAGAGTAGATCTTCATCACCTGTCATGTAAAAAAAGGTTATTAACAGTGAGGTACTTGCATGAGGTGTTAAAGACAAAGTTGACTGCTGTTAAAGGGATAATTGAGTTTTGGTATAGAGGGCACTACACAAAATAATTTTTTTGGTGAGACAATGAAAAAATGAGTGTCAAATTTGAAAGAGCATACAGTTTTAATGACAAAAATATCTTTGTTTGTTAAAAATCGGTTCAGAAACGTCACTCGAAATGTAATAAATAAGATTAAGAGCAATAACCATGCATTTTGAAGGCATTTGCGGTCTTAAACAAGAACTCAACTGTCCCTTTAAAGGTGGAAATGAATTTCTCAATCTTTGGATATAAGTTTGGAAGGAAACATAGTCAAATTGTCTCCTGAAAAGAATCAGAATCAGTCTTTAAATGCCCTCGGATTAGAAACAGGATGACAAAAACAGTCAAACCTGCTTACGTGACCACCTGTCTACAAAGACCGCATTCTTTGTTTCCCTTCGGCAGTCGCCGTAGACAGGTTTGACTGTAGTTGTAAAGTTTGGACTGCACTGTCCTATCTCACATGTGTGTTTAGTCCCATGTATAAACTTCTGTATGCAGTTCAATTGACATTCAGCAAGACTTGGTCCATTTCCTATCATTCTGATGATTCCAACCCATCACTGTGTAAATCAGTTCTTATTCACCACACAATCATCCATCCAAAATTGCTTCCAGACGGTTTTTAAAGCCCTTCTGCAATAGTTTGGCCAGGAGGGATTAGACCTCCCTGCATGATCAGCTCTCAATTCGTTCCTGTTTTCACGAAGTGACGGTAGTGAGGAAAATCCGCTCACAATTGTATGCGATTTTCATTCACTACCGTTACTTCGTGAAAATAGGGACGAATTAACATAAGAAAAAGTGGATCATGGGGGACCAATGGTCACCGCTTAGGCATTGTATGCTATATAGAGGGCGCAAGTAGCCATAAGTAGTGCAGTGGGGCTTTAAAAGAGCACTTTCCTACCTTGTCCTTTCCAAAGACCTCTGATGCAGCATCTAGTTCCCTGATGTTGTTGTCAGACATGGCACCAAGCTGTCCTCTCCCGGGAGTCACCCCTCCGGTCTCATCCTCTGTCCTCGCTGTCTCAGGCTCCTCCACCGGGGGCAACTCTGGAGGCGGATGACGAGGGGAACTAAAACACAACAACAAAATAAGCATAATTATGATAGTTCTTCTTCTTCTTCTTCATCATAATCTGCCTCCTTCACTCCTGAAGATTCTTGCAGATGAAGGGGGTGTGTGTGTCACAAAGGATGTGAAGTGCTAAGTGTCCTATTTACATAAGGTGCAAGTAAAAATCTTCCAGTCTGGTGCTCGGGAAGAATGACTGTCTGTGTTGTTCACCTCTAGGACCTGGGGAGCTGGTACCCTTGATGGTCTAGTTTCCAGTCCAATCCAATCCAATCGGTAAGGTCAAGGTCACTGTACAGGTGGTTATCTTATCAACTCAGCTCTTAATCAACATAAGAAAAAGAGGATCATGGGGGACTAATGGTTACTGATTAAGCATTGTTTTCTATATAGAGGGAGCAAGTAGCTACAAGTAGGACAGTGTGGCTTTAAAGAACACACGTATATAGTCTTGCTTGTTGATATTAATTTCAGGTGCGGTTTGTTGTTATTGTCTTGTTGTTGTGTGTGTCACCAAAGTGAAATCTGGAGCTTACTTTTTGAGTGTAGGAAGCGGCCTATCATCAGCATTGTAGATGAACGGGTCTCTTGGGCTTACACCAGGGGGTTTGTGCTCCTGGTTGTGAGGTGGGGTACCAGGATCCCTTGGGGGTGGCCCCTCCCTCCTCTCTTCTCTCCTTGGCTCCTCCCTTCTCTCCTCTCTCCTTGGGGCGGCTTCCTTGGGTGGGGCAATCTTTTGAGGCTTTTGGTGTGACTCAGGCTGTGGAAGGTAGAAGGGAAAGGAATTGTCAAAAATTAAAGATAAAGTTGAGTTCTGATCATGCGATTGCATTGTGAAAGAAAAGGTGTGGAATGGATCAGAAAAGTTGATCATCTAGCATGTAAGTATTGGTGTGTACTGCAAGGTTCTGGAGTCATCAAAATCATAATAAATTTGGCCAAGTCTTGGTAAAGTAACAAGCACTGTACACAGAAAGATGTACATGTATATGAGGGAGGCGAGTTGGCTCAGTCGGTAAAGCATCCGTCTGTCGAACCAAAGATCCCGGGTTCGACTCCCACCCAAGCGGATTACTGAAACCTGCGTTGTGTGTTAACGTGCCCCTTCCCTTGTTCATAGACGCAGGTTATGTCATGTGGAAAACACTCCGTCCCTCGGATAGGACGTTAAATGGAGGCCCCGTGTAGAGAAGAGTCACTACCTTTGCACGTTAAGAACCCACTGCACTATTCGTATAAGAGTAGGGGGAAACCCCGGTGTAGTGGTCCACCTGCACACCCCCGGTATAGTACGATAATACTCCGTAAAGAGGTCTGTACTCAAAAGGAAGAAGAAGAAGGGACTACACAAATGGTGTCGGGCCTACTTACCTTGATTTCCCTATCATCCTATGCTCATTACTCAGCCAGAATACATTTTCTACCAAACTTGTTTGGCAAATGACAGTTATTTGTAATCTTGAACATTCAGTGTAAGTTCTGTTTGATTCTGTGACAATTCAATTTCTTCTTTTAACCAGAACTCAAGTTTATCTATAACATGACATGATTCAGCCTAAGGGAACAGAGTAATTAATATTTGCTCTGGCCGAAATTCCTTTCAGCTTTCTTTGATTAAAAATAAAGGAATTAGGCATCATCCAGGTATGATGCAGGGAACCACAGCGTTGTTCCTTTTTGTGATGACGGAAGTGTAATACATTCTCATTCCTGTATCTTATAACACAGAACGCAGTAAATATGTGTAGAACCTTTGTTGTGATTTAAAAAAAAAATATTAAAAAAAAGGGTGCGGTTTTCCGCATCATAACTGGATGAGCCTTTAGGGTTGCAATTGGGTTTTAGGGTTAGGATTAGAGTTGGGGTTAGAGTTGGGGTTAGAGTTGGGGTAGAGTTCGAGTTGGAGTTAGGGTCAGGTTTGGAGTTAGAGTTAGGTATCGTGTTGGGTCCAGGATAGAAGGTCGGTTAGTGTAGGAAGTTACTGCAGATCAATTCTTCAAGGAGCATGTGTTATACAACCACTGTATTAGATGGTATGGAAAAAAGCATAAACATGAAGTAAGTTATGGTAATCATATAGGGATAGGGATAGGGATATGAAGGAGAATACAGGTTGAGGATAGAGAAAATTATTATAGACAAATAGGAGGCAGAGAGACAGAGAGAGATGGAGAGAGAGAGAGAGAGAGAGAGAGTGAAAATAAATATATATCATAAACAGGGTAATTAAATGATTATCACAATCGCACACAGAAACATCATTTGCGTTTTGTTTAGCCATACCTTGGGTCATTAGCACAAAGGTTATCAACAAGTTTGGGTTATAGACAGTAAATGAGTTATTACAGGAATGTTTTACCCACATTTTACAAATTAGTACTAATACTGAATATATAGGGTGCACTAGGGCAACATGTAGCCCTTCGAGGCATTTAGTAGAATCATATCAAGAATTAGGTTCACAAAATTCAACCAGAGACTTACACATCAGGGGGGGGGGGGATGAGGAGGAGGAGAAGGAGGAGGATGAGAAGGACAAGGAGGAAGAGGGAGGGAGGGAGGGAGAGAGAGAGGGAGAGAGAGAGAGAGAGAGAGGAGGGACAGAGAGAGAGAGAGAAAGAGAGAGAGAGAGAGAGAGGAGGGACAGAGAGCGAGAGAGAGAAAGAGAGAGAGAGAGAGAGAGGAGGGACAGAGAGAGAGAGAGAGAAAGAGAGAGGAGGGACAGAGAGCGAGAGAGAGAGAGAGAGAGAGAGAGAGAGAGAGAGAGGGAGAAACAGAGAGGAGGATGGAGAGACAGAGAGAGAGATGGAGAGAGAGAGGGGGGGGGGATATAACTGTCTTACATCAGATAAGAAGAGCAAAGATAAAAACTATCAAATCAGTCAATAATGTGAAAAGTCCACAGCAAATGAAATACACACATTTTTTTAAATGATGCAATTAACCCCACAAAACCTGCATGTACTTGAAGTGGTCACACAATTTGACACAAAGCATTTTCTACGGACTTACATGTACATGTACATCCTTATTTTGCATGGACCAATCTTTAAGTGGCCACACAAGATTCTGAACAGCATGCAAAAATGATGAGGATAATAGGAGTATTAAAGTAGGGCAAGATTATTAAAAAACACTGGGTGTGAGATACTGTAAGAAACAAAATAAATATTCTCCATCATGCAAACAGTGTACAATAATTCATTTCTGTAATCAAACTGATTATTTCCTCTTACCGGTAGATACTATTGGATCCTTCCATATCAAATCATCCAAATTGGCATAAATTCTACTGAAATGAACAATCTATTGTCCACCAACAACACTGATTCAAGACCAACAACACACCGAACAAAAGTATTTCAGTACACCCAAATGGCAAAGAATCGGTCGGTTTTGGAGTCAGCGTGAAATCGGTTTGGCCGGTATTACATCTTACTGTACTTTCCAGTAATTGATTTATAAATTGGTGAATGAACATTGATAATAATAATATTAATAATAGCGAAGGCTTGTAATGCTCATATCTTTCAGATTTGACACTCCTGACGTTCCAGAGTTATAACCCGACGTGAACATGGCTGCCATTATGGCAATCTACCATTTCAGGGAATTAATTTCTGCTAGGTACTCATTTACCTCACTTGGATTGAGTGTGGCAAATGAAGATGAATGTCTTGCTAAAGGACAGTAGAGCTGTAGCGGGACTTGAACCACAAACCATGCAATGTACAGTCCAGTGACGTATCAGCTACACCAGGGGAGTGTTACACAAAGACTAAAATCGACTTTAAGTTGGACTTAACTATGGCAGGCCGTTCATGCCACTGTTTGCTCTCACCATTTACTGGCACTGGTCTCTCAAGGAACATACAAATCATGGTCACAAATCTACAGAATTTATTTTTTGATTATTCATTATTGAAGGAAAAAATATTATCTAAAGATCAGAATGGTGAGAGCAAGCAGTGGCGTGAACGGCTTGCCATAGTTAAGTCCAACTTAATTTTTAAACCTTTTAGTCTATGTGACACTATGACACCTCTATAAAGATATACGTACCTTACTGATGTCCAGTAGATCATAAAGCTCTAATTGCTTGTAGATCTGTAGTCGATATTCCTCCATCTGAAGTTTCTTGACTTTGGCAAGGTCATAATCCTCCGTCTCTATCGCTCGTCGCTTCTCCACCTCGTAACGACCCAATCGCTCTCCAACCTTAGGAAATGAGTGTGATTAATAGGCAATCAGATAGTCATTTGATCAAGACCAGTACTTCATCCATCATATACAGGAAGCTACTTCTAAAGGTGAGTTCTTTATGGAACTGCATATCAGGAGATTTGCATTTAACCTATTCATAATGCAATGACCTGACTGTACCAACTATCATTTTTATCAGATTTTCCAGTTCTTAAATCATTATATTTGTATGGGAACCGGAATTCCCTTTGCCACATACAAAATGTATACCCGCCGTTGCTGCCCTGTATGGCCAAATAACATAGTTGCGGTAGTGAGAATTGTGTTTGGATCTTTGTTTTGGAGCAGCAAATTTTGTTGTTATTGAATAGACAAAACCCTCCTAAAAACCCCATACACATAGCAGCATCTCTGAATGGACAGATAATTCAAAAGAAGACAAATACATGTATATCACAATGGATGACAAAAAATAGAACATCTAAGTTCTTACTTCTTCACTTCACCTTCATTTACAAGCTATCTCTCTATATCCATCACTTGTGCACTATACAAGGACATGTATTTAGATCCATTCCTTTAATACACTTGCAACAATTTAGAATTACTATAAAAATTCCCCTAAAAATTTCCAGTGAGGTACCTAATGCTTTGAATTCTACTTGGCTATAAAGGGGATAAGAGCAAGGGTACTCACCTTCTGAAGGTCAGATACAGCCTGCTTCAATCTCTTGGCTAAATCAAACTCCTCCTCTGTGAAAAAAACAACAAAGCAGCCCAGATTTAACCAGTTGACTATTGAATTATCCCATTCCTAGAGGCCTAATACAGGAACCAATTAGCTCCTGTAGGTAACGGGTTAAGTGTTCTGAATATCACGGTACTATTTCTTCTCCAACATTAAACAGTATGGAGAACACGAACCTGAACATAATGAATCATAAACTACAGACACGGATAAGAGAGTGGACACTGTTTTTCAGTGAGAGAGAAAATAGGGATTTAGCTCTGGAAAACTCTGAATGAGCTATAAATAAAACAAAATACAGAAAACTCATCTCAAGAAATCCCACTTTTTTACCAACAAAACCAATAAGCTCCAGCTAATACATGTCAATCAGTATATATTTTTTTGCATTGACAATTGACCCCCTAATTCCCATGGGGTAGTAGTTTAATAAAGCATCAAATTACTGTAGGCAGTGACTTAACTGTTGTCATCAACTACTTTGATTAAATGATTCATAGATCATCAAGGCACTGTACCTTGTTATCAAAGTTTGAATTTTTGAGCAACAAGAGATTTTAATTGCTTGCATCGAAAGAACTGATGACATACATGTATCATTTGTTGAGAGTCAGAAGAGTGTTAAGTCTCTGTTAAGGTCTCTGAGTTAAGGCCCATATGGCTCTCAGCTGATGGCATATCAAACTGGATAAGAGCTCATAGCGTGTGATGAGAGGTAGAAGGGCATTAATTATGCATGAATGTACATGAGAACTTGTAATGCCCTTCTGGATCTGAGCTGGTGACATATCAAATGTCATCTGTTGAGAGCTAAAAGGACCTGTGTTTATCATTTTACAGCCTTCTGGCTCTCAGCGGATGGCACATCATATTGAAGGCTTACGTATAACAGCTTCGTTCTTTCTGTTGTCTAGTTTCCTGATGATATTAGCCACTTCTGGGTCTTGATACATATCAAATGCCAAGTCATCCATTGGAGATATGTAGTCTGGTCTGAAAAAAATAAAAATAAGCATGTTGCATTTTATTCACCACTTCTCTACAATCTCAAACAAGTTTAAACCTACCAAGAAAATGACTCCTATCCTAAACACCTTTCATCATATCATTGACAAACTTGATTCAAATCACCCAGGTCATCATTTGAATCAATTCCAATTAAAATAGAATAATCATGAGTATTATGCTTTAAAAGACATTTTAGTGAATGTATTATTTAGACAAAAGCTGTCATTGTCATTGATCTCTCTATATAAATATATATTTATATACAAAATATTTTGCAGTTACCCTTCTTTTAGTATAGCTTCCTGAGTGAGCTGCCAAAGGGATAACCCAACCAAGGGCAGCTATCAAGTCTTATCCGTCAATAGCAAGTACTGGGTCATGAAACCATTTACAGTATTGTCTACACTAAGCCAACCCTGAGTTTACTTATTGATAGCACCGAGGACTATGGGGTCGACCTCTCCTATCCTGCCTAATTCATCTTCATTGAATGTTGAGCCAGGAGGCATGTGCTGGTTGATGACATCATTCACACGTTTCCCTCCTCCATCGTTCTTGCTGTTGTCAGTTGCTAACTCATCTCCAATGATGTTCACTGCAACCAGACCAACCTTTGGAAAGAAGACAATGATGAAGAAGGAGGAGGGAAGGACAAGGCAAATGAGAAGACAAAGGAGAAGATGAAGAAGAAGGAGGAGGGAGAGGAGGAGAAGGAGAATGAGAATAAGGAGAAGAAGAAGAAGAAGAAGAAGAAGAAGAAATATAAGAATAAGAAATATAAGAATAGTAAAGAAGACAAAGCAATATATATTTGTTTCAGGGCTAGAAGGTACTCGTATACAATCATCCTCCTCAACAAAATTCACCCAATATTCTAGAAACAATTAAGGAGTTTGATGGATAATATAAAACTCCAAGATGTTTATGCCAACTAAATTCACCGGCATAAGCCAAACAGAGAATCCCACATAAACTAAATCAAATTACTTTACTACTGCTCAGATGATGATAAACATCTTATTGCTATCTAACAATAACAGTGACAAGCCTTGTATATGATAAATGTGTTAGAATACGTGAATAGACTTAGTGATCTTCACGTAACAGACAGAATCTCTGTCTGTCACCATCATTATACAATTTTTTTAAATAACAAAAGAGAAATACAACATACCTGGTTATAGAGATTATGTTTGTTGACATGGTTCTTGTAGACTACTAATCGAAGGTACTTCCCAACTGCATCAACATGAACCGACTTTAGCTCTCTGGCTTTGAAGCCAGTCTTGGCATTATCAGACAGAGTGATGTACCTGTGTGGTGACAATAGATCAGTGCATGTTTTTAACTATTTCTCATTTTCAACAAAAATCAGTAATCAGCACATGTAAACTCATTTATAGTACAGTCAAACCTGCTTTAGCAACCACCTGTCTACAAAGACCTCATTTTTTGTTTCTCTGGAAAATGGTTTCTCTTTGAAACGTGTACATGCAGACCACATGCCTATTAAGACCACTTTTCTTGTCTCCCTTAACCACTTGACTGCGAATGCGTGGCTTACCCCCTGTGCTACATCATTTTTGTACTGTTCAAAAAGTGTACACTGTACACGAGATGAACAGATTTTATTTTGAAAAAGCGCCGTACACGAAAAGGCCAGATTTTTTTTGAAAGAGCACCATCTACTGTTCAAGACCGGTATAACATCATTGCAGTGCTAATTACACAGTAGGGCTAGGCAGTCAGTGTGCAGTGCTACGGTCTTGAAAGTGCAATGCCCTAACCATGTACGTACCACGTACATGTACGTGGTGCACACAGGGCATGCAAGACCTAGAGCATGTACATGTACGTGGCCCGCAGCCAAGTGGTTAAGTGGTCCTTCTAGACAGGTTTCACTGTAATTAAAAGCAGGTTCAAGAACCAACAACAATGTACAATGTATCTGGTTTCAACATCAATGGAGTGAGAAGTAAAAACTAAATACAGAAAACTGGAGAAATTATGCATTCCCTGAACAGAAATGAAAAGACTTAAACAGAAATGGTTGAAAACGAGTCATAATTCTTTTTACAATAATAAATTGATTTTATATCACGGGCCAAAGGGAAGTGAAATTAGAGTCATTTGCCTTACCTCTTCATTTAGTAATTCGAAAACAAATTGTGTAATAGCCTCATTGAGAACACCAAAACTTTTTGGAGATTTGACTAATAGAATATGAGAAAAATAGTTTTCTAGGAAAAACCATTTCAAGAGAGAAAATAAGAAACACATATTTTGTTTGCATGTGAAAAAACAACTAAAACAAAAAAACAAGTAAAACAATGGATTAAATATTAGAAACTATACGTTTGATATCCTTACCCTAATCTTTTATATCTTTGTCCATTCAAACTGGTGATGTGATCAGGAGGCAGACTTCCAACATAGAACTCAATTTTGGTTGCTGTGCATGAAGAATGAAACGTAATACCGGTAGTGTATAATTGTCAAAAGAATCTGCATTAGTTCTAGTAGCGAAAAAAAAAAACTTGACTGAAAATTGTTGGACATGTATTCAAACTCAAAGTATCCCAAGTGTCATGAAATAATGAGTATAATTGAAAGAATCATTTCATTCATATACATGTAGTTTACTCTGATCCAAGCTCTAGAAGAGTTGCCAACTTCATTCAACCTTCTTCTTTTCCTCCCTCTTCTTCTTCTTCTTTTTCTTCTTCTTATCTTATCAGGTGTATAGTTGTACTATATTTAGAAGGCCTATCCTAAATTCTTTGATTTAGGTGATGTATGGGACAAAATACTTTGGATTGGTGAGGTTTACAACAAATACCAGTAAATATATGTGTTAGCCCTACATGTATATTACATCGCCCATCCCAATTCATGATTAACAGTTCAAATCAACTCACGTATGAGGAACTGATGAGACAGGAGCTGTAGCTTTCTGATCCGAGTCTTGTCCGGTAAACGCAGTACGATCTCCTGTGGGTAGAGACAGAAGCGTCCCCCGACCCAACCCTTGACCAACGGGTTGTGTATCTCCAGCTCCTTGCAGTTATAACCCTCATCCGTACTGCTGGCGTAGATTACACTGAAGGGAATCTTATGGGGCATCTCTCCTCAGAGTTTGGTTCACTTTGTCAATTCTCACCGACCGATCCAACGTTATTCCACTTTTACAAAAATCACATATTATTTTACATGGACCTTTCACGGCTTGTAAAATATAACATTCTTTCTAATAAAATGTAGTCGTTGATGCTATGTCAATACTCCACCATATTTGTAGTACAATGGAAGACTGTGTACATGTAGCGGAATCAACTTACATGTACCTGAAAACTACATCCGAGCATCAATGTACGCAATGTTATCTGTTTATCTCTGTTCACGCAAGAGATCAAGGCAAGAATGTCTTCCAACTGGGCAGTAAGTATCCACAACTGAGATTCCACGAAAATTCAAACGAAAATGGGCTATGATACTTGGTCTGCATGGGAAGATAAATCATGAAATAAAACAAGAATTTTAACATTTAATACAGTACACACTTTGCTGTAGTTTAATAGGAACCTTACTCTGAAGAAAAGTAATTTTGTTTAAAGAAGTTACACATTATTGGAAATATTCATCAACAAGATTTGACCTCTTTTTGTCTTTAGAGAAAGTAGAGTATTACATGAAGTTATTAAGTAACATTAACACTAAACAGTTTGATTTACAAATATATAATTATGACTGAAAAGAAATAATATATAAATAAAATATTTTTACTAACAGTTAAACAAAATAACAAAAGTCTATACATAAATATTACCAAAATCTTTGTAAAGAATCAAAATTCTTTCTAATACTTCAGTTCCAGCTTATCTGTCCGTTTTCTTGAAAAAAGTTTGTGTGATGAGATTGGCAATCACCCACAAATGCACAAACTCAGACTCAGAACTGTATAGCTGTATTGACATTGCACGTAAGTTAGAGGTCTAGTCTAGATCTACGTAACTTTTTTGAAAGTTTGAACAATTCTCATTTTCGTCATATTTAAGGTACAAACTTGCGAGTTGTACTGAAATGTACATTGATTTTTCTTTTTTTTATGTGTGTACATGTACCTATAATGAGTGTGCATCACCTGTTTAAAGCATGACATGTCAGTGTGTTATGTAATTGGCATTGCCATTGCACTTAACTTAAGTTTTAAGTAGTCCCTCTCTCACTTAAAAATAAGATCGAAGCCACGTGAGCTGCTCATCAAATTATGGGAGAGCGTAAAGTCGTAAACTGTGTGCACAGCGCTCAATGGGGAAAGTTCTGCATGGATTGTGTAACCTCCAGCTCCCCTCACTAACCCGCCTTCAGACCTTACGAATACGAAGTTACGCCAGGCTTCAGCATGTTCACTTTTCTCTGAATCTGATTCTGTGTTAGACTGTAATGATTGATATCTGTATGGTGGTGTGACCAAAGTTTGCTTTCTCAAAAAATCGGTAAGATTCCGAAATTCTGATATCACCAATGGAAAGAAGATCATAAAATTACCCATAAATTAAGTTTTCTTTGGAATTGGGTGCGAAATTGTGAAAATATTGACAAAAGATCAACAAATTTTGCAGTTATTTGCGTCCGTTCTGGAAATCTTCATTTTGAGAGCAGATATCCTCAAAATTGTAAGTAGTCTAGAGATCTAGGGTCTAGACCTACATGTACATGTTATGTCAGAGTGGTACCGAGTGGTTCATATTTTGCCTTGCAAATTATGAAATTACCTTATTTTTTATGTATCATGTTTTTGTATAAATCAGCTGTAAACCCCCATGCGTGAAGTTACATGTAGGTCTTTGTTTTTATGACTTTTTTAGATGCAGCGCGCACGCACGATCGGACATCAAATTTTTAGATCGCAATATCTCTGAAATTCTTCAACTATAATTTTCTAGTTGATCCAATTGGTAGTCAAATACTTTGCCGTCCATGTGATGTTAGATCTAGATCTAATTAAAATAAATAAATTTGTGTAGAATATGAGGAAACATGGATCGAATATCACATTTTCTAATAAATATGTTCTAAAATCTGGGCAAACTTTGGAGTTTGGTCACCCCTTCATCAGACGATCAGTGGAGCCAGACATCTAGACATAGAATCTAGAATAGATCTAGACTAGAGAATATTCAGACTAGAATAGTCTTAGCGGAACAACCGTCGATATTATTAGCATGATTAGAGACTGGAGGATGTCTAATAATCAACTAGCCCTTTCCTCAGTCTGCAGTCTTACTCTTAATATTAGGCTAGATCAGATGGTTTCATGGCTGGCACCTTCCATCATAATTTATGAAGGGGTGACCAAAGTTCGCGGACATATTTTTAGAACATATTACAAAATGTGATATTCGATCTATGATTTCTCATATTCTACACAAAATTACTTAAGAGTCTATTTCAATTATTACCAAATGGACGGCAAAGTTTTTTACTGCAAATTGGGTTCAACTAGAAAATTTATCGTCGAAGTATTTCAGAGATATCGCGATCTAAAAAATTTGATGTCCGATCGTGAGTGCGCGCTGCATCTAAAAAAAAGTCATATTCATAAAAACAATGAGACCTAACTTCACGCACGGGAGTTAAGTTGATTTATCAAAAAATGTGATCCATCAAAAATAAGTTAATGTCATAATTTGCAAGGCAAGATATCATACAATCAGTTGGTACCACTTTTTACTTTTGGGGAAATCTGCTCTCAAATTGAAGATTTTCAGACCCTTATCGGTAAGTTGATAATTTTTCGGAACGGACGCAAAAGATTGCAAAATTTGCCGAGCTTTTGTCAATATTTTCACAATTTCGGACCCAGTTCCAAAGAAAATTTCATCTCTGGGTAATTTTATGTCCCTCTTTCCAATGGTGTTTTTAGATTTTCGAAATCTTACTGATTTTTTGAGATAGCGAACTAAGGTCACGCGCGAACTTTGGTCACACCACCATACCATATACCATGTATACGGCCGCGCTAGGGGCAGCGCATCCCACCACATACCGGTACCGCTAAGCTAGCCGGTAGGCACGGTCCATGACCATGTCCAGATCCAGTGACGTGAATATGTCAAAATGCAATGTTTATGTGGTCATTTAGAATAAATTCAAGCGTGAATACTATTGCACGTGTTTAGGAAAAGAAGGTAACATAAAATAACAATGAAAAAATCCACAAATTTACTTACCTTTTAGATTTTTGTTGGTCAAAACACGCAAAAACTTGTGATACAATCAAACGGCGTACCGTTTCCAATGGAGTATTTCTCATTATTGCCAATTTGAGTAATCAACAGATCTAAGCATATTATGTTTATTTTTGTTCTATTTAATAACATCATTGTATTAAAATGTTGTCACAAAAGTATTTATTAATATTTTAAAATATATTATAAAGTAAATGAAATTATAAAAAATTATCATTTATACTTTATGTCCTCAAACTTCAAAGTAAAGATTCAGTTCAGTAAATTGACATGATGATGATGACGTTTGCATGCAAAGTGTAATCCTCCACTAAGCCATTTCAATTTCAATTCAGCATTATGATTCCATAATTCCATAATAGAAACAGCAACCGTGCAGTAAATATAACAGAAATACTATTCATTCATAATTATTATATTTTGGTTGCAGTTATCAAAATAGTAAAATATTGACAGTAAATTGGTTGCTGTATAAAAACCGGGATAAAAACCCAAGTGGGTTTGGACAGTCACCATGAAATGAGATAGATTCACATAAACAGTAGACCTAAAATTAGTAAAAGAATCATACAAAAGATACATGAATAAACAAAAATAACAACCAAAATATTTATTAAAAAAACAATTAAAAAAAACGCAAACGGAACTAAATAGGACAAACAATTTTTGTTAACCCTAAACAAAATTGCATTGTGGAGTAGATCCTAATATAATACGAGTATTAATTTTTACAATGTAAGATCATTGGAAATAAAATATATTTTAGCCTTTCTTTTAAATAAATTCGAACTACTAACAGAAGTAATATCTGACGGTAAAGAATTCCATACAGAAGGAGTTTTATGTGTAAAAGAGTGTAATTCATATTGTTTTGTAAGCGGCAGATAAGTAATAATTCATTTTATTTCTAGTATTATAAAGTACGAACTGAACAATTTAATGTTAACATATTGCGTAAATTATTGGGTAATAGACCAAGCCTGTGTTTAAAAAGTAGTATTGCATCAACATAATTATCTAATTGATAAATATTCATTATGATTAACTTTCTGAATAAAGGTTTCGTATGTGCTAAATATGTAGCTGCTGAAGCTATTCTTACACATTTCTTTGGCGATATAAATAGTGTTTCCAACTTGGAAAAATATGGCAGCCCATACGACATTACAGTATGATAAGTATAGGGTAGGACTAATGAGAATGCTGAGAGCTCTGGTGGACAAATCAATATTGGTTTACTGCATCTCAGACTTAGAGTGCCCGGAAATGATTACAAAACAAGCGATACAATCAAACTATTATAAACACATAATAAAATTTAAAAAAGAAGAAAAGAAAAAATATGTCCTATCAAAGAGGTATATACATGTATTATCGTTATTATTGTTTTTACATTTCTTAGTATTAATAATAATAATATCTAAGATTTATATAGCGCTGGTATACACATACAGTTTCTAAGCGCAATTACAGAACAAATGAAATGAAAATTACGTTTAATCTAAATATGTACATGTAATAAGCATCAACAAGAAACATGAAATGAACATTGTGCTTAATTTAGACGAAATAAATTAAAGCTCTTACTTAACTAGCAGTGTATTAACAATATAATTATGATAACGAAAATGAATTACTTTGTGTTGAATAGGCAAGTCTAAAGTCTACGTTTAAAGTGTCCAGAGTTGGGGATTCACGGACAGAGATGGGGAGATTATTCCAGAGTTTAGGAGCACATACAGAGAAGGCACGATCACCACAGCGGATGTGAGTTCGAGGACCAGAATGATAGTTGAAGATGAACAGACTGATGATGATGAGCGGAGCCTGATGGAGGAGGTTTGCACCTTTGGTGAAATGAGTATTGATGAATTGATGTATGCTGGAGCAAGTCCATTACGAGTGAGAATTATTAAGTAGTACCTTGAATTGGATGCGATGTGGAATGGGGAGCCAGCCCCCCCCCCCCCCCTACTACGGGAACGGAGGAACCGCATGCGTGTTCCCAAAATCTCCGGATCGTAACAAAAGAAAAAGTCTACCCGTATTGACTTTACACACCGGACTTATGCTGGAAAAAAAGGGGGGGGGGGGTGCTGGGAACAATTATGCGTACCCTAGATAACACTGAGACAGTCAGGGGGGGGGGGGTGGAGCCAGTGAAGAGAACGAAGAATATGTGTAATGTGTTCGTGCTTTCTTGTGCGTGTGAGGAGACGGGCTGCAATGTTCTGGATGTGTTGGAGTTTGGTTAGATATGAGCTGGGTAGATTTATCAACAAGCTATTGCGGTAACTCAATGTGCGATGTCACGAATACATTTACTAGGCACTATTTTTTTTTTCCTCCCGAAAATTTGAAAAATCGCAACCCCCCTCCTTGAGCGCCGGAGGGGGGGGGGGGGGAGCCAATCTCCAAAAAAAAGGTACAATTAAAGTTTTTTTCTCCCGGGGGGGGGGGGGGGGGGGAGGGGGCGGAGCCCCCGCCCCCTGGATCCGCCACTAGTCACATGCATGAGTTCTGTCTTAGCACCATGCAGTAGCGTACGCAGAGTTTTTTTTCGAGGGGGGGGGGGGGGGGGTGGTAGGAATACATTGTTTTTTGTTTTTTGTCCGGAGAAATTATGCCGACCGATATTTCGTTCAGTAGGGTAGGGTCACTTTTTTGTCACCCTTTTATAGCACAAAAAAAAACCTTTCCTCCAAAACACACACATTAAACAAATAGGCCCAGGCCTACTATTGAACACACTCAGAAACTCAAAAGTATAAGCTTGAGTTTAAAGGGCAATCCAAACCTTGTTATCAGATCATTTTTTATGAAAGCACATAAATAACATAAACAGAATGGCGAAAGTTTTAAATAATTCGGACCAAGTTATAAGAGAGTTATGAACGAAATTCAACGAATACACACGTTATTGACACGTATGATGTTAATACCTGTCTGTGCGTCCAGACTACTATACAGCCGGGGAATCCCCACTCGGTCACGCCAAACCCCATTTTGTTCCTATCCATGTATTATAATCCTTTTCTCCTGACGCCATTACTGTGGAATAATCCTCGTTCAGATCAATGCTACATGCCGCAATGACAACGTAGGCAATTTGTTGGCCATATCTTATCATCAGTCGTAAAGACAACAGGTGTTGACAACAAAAGGCAATAATCTGCTTAAAATTTGATTATTATATTTGTTTTACAAGATGGATAATGGTCAGTCGCAAACCAACCAGCATGGCACTGCCCCTAAGTACAGGGCACGGCGTGGTTTTGTGGCTAGCATCATCATGGCGGTCTCTAATGGGTTCGCATTAGTCTTTTTTATGGCCACGGTTGACTCAACTGACGATTTTTATTTTGCTTGTGGCATACTCATTACGATGGTAAGTAACTGAATTCTCGACATTGAGAAACATTTATTAAATAGTTATTATAAACGATTGGAACACCTGCATTTTAGGACATAATCTTAACAATCAGCCGAATGCTTATCTATATTATGAAAATTAAAAGATAACAAACATCTCCTGATAATTTTAACAGTATTATAGCTTTACCATTCTGATTCTAATAAATACGATTGTTAATACCGTAGAAAATCAACGTATTTAATAACTTTTTGCGCCACCTATTGAAATGTGTAAACATGACAATCACACATAACATCATCCCAACATCTATTTCTATAGCGTATAAGCAGTGCTTTTGTATTGAAATTCCTTTACTCTAAAAAGGGTCGGAGATAAACCAGTGGAGGATCCAGGGGGGGGGGGGGGACCAAGGGGCCCACCCCCCCCTCCCCAGGCAGAAAAATGTAGTTAAAAAACACGTTATTTTTACCGTTTTTTTTGGAGATTGGCCTCCTCCTGGATCCGCCACTGCATGCAAGCACTGGTCATTTCGTTCTCCTGGCTGTCTACGGGATCCCATAATGATGTTTAATGCTTTGAAAGTTAGATTTTAGAGGGACTTGGTAACATTGTTCAGATGAGAGGAAATGGTGCCAAGGTAGTGACTTCAATGCTACGATTAAAGATAATCTGAAAGTGAAAACAGACTATTATTAAGGATAAACATTGGGAAAAACTGATCTAATCGATTCCTTAATTCTCCCAACTATATTATTACAATTTAATTATATTTTAGGTGAATTCAAAATTTTCACAAAGCAATGAATTGGCTCTATATGCCATTCCAGACATTGAAGACAGTGTTGAAACACGTTTTAAAGCATGTCTTATGTCTTATCTTCATGGAAAAACGGTTAGGAAAATTTAAACATTGGTTAGGAGAATTTACTGTTAGAGGATGTCGCACACCTTCAATAAAAAGCATAAATATCTTTGTGGTTTGAGATTTGTGCATGTTAGAGGGTTGGTACAGTAGAAGGAATATAATAGGTAACATTTCATACACAAAATTAATTACGCATTTTTATCATCAACCTTCAACAATATTACCAAGTCACATTAAGGTTCCTGAAATAACAAGTTTTAAAACCTGAGTCACTTGGATGAGACCGAAAACATACCGAACTAAAGATTTACATTTAATGGCCAACCATCGGTCTGTTAGGAGTCAGTCTTGAGTCGGTTCGGTGGTGTGACTACTCGAGATGTTTATGGTATTAGTTTGAAAAAAGGGGGAAATGGCGCCCAATTTTACACAGCATGTACGATTTAAATACAGTGAGATACACTTCGGGCCCATTTCACTCATTATACATTAGGTACACCAGTGATACCGAAAACAAAAGTGCAATACCCTATATAAGGCTAAGACTAGAGTCGGTCGATTTCGAGTCGGTGAAGAGTCAGTTTAGTACAGTGTGACTGTACTTGGTTTCTTCCATTAAGTACAGTCCAAGTAATTTCATCATTTTCTATCCCATTGCATCATCCTAACTCATAATAATCCTGTTTTCCTTTTATTCAGGTACCAATCTTGCTTACAAGCTGCATCGGTGTGAAAGCTCGCAATGAAAGAAAGTGCTGGGTATGTATTTTCCCATCTAATCACACGATCGTAAACACTTTTGAACTAAATGTCCAATCTCAATTTTGT